CCCAGCAATGAAAAACCATTCCCTAACTGGTGTTCAGCCATGGTTTGGAAATGGTTACAAGGGGTGTGTGGTGTACCACCAGGACTCAGGACATACAAAATACAGGTTTATCCAAATGTTTTCTATAGTCATGCTACAGCTACATTGTAAAATGCCTCAAACTTGTGGAGCACATAGAGGGAGGATTTGTTGAGTTCCTTGAGTATTTTACAGCTCTATGCTTTCTGGATCAGAGACAAAGAAAAACATTTTTGGCCACAAAACTTTCAAAATTAAGAGTGCAGGTTTTACCAGCCAAATTAAAGAAACCTCCCATGTCAAAGTGTGCTTTGTTTCCGTAAGTCCCTTGGTGCACTAGAAGTGTGCAAGAAGCAGTGGGGGACTTTGTTGAGTTTAGCTGTGCAATGGATTTGCTTGATTGGTGACATGACTGAAACTTGGCTTCCCAAAATATATAAATCATGTATACAACATATTTCCCTGGAAATTTGGCAACAATCCAGTGATGAATATGAAATCAACATTTCAAAGACATCATTGTCTGAGACAAATTGAACCAATGGGATTTGAAAGATAATTTTGCTTCCTGTGATATTTGTTGAAAACTCGGGACCCTAAGCTTACCTAAAAATTCATTGTTGATCTCAGAGCATCATTTTGAATTCAAATTGATTGGTGGACTTGTTTTGGTGCATGTTTTTCACGTGCTGGTAAATGGGAAGAGCTGTTTACCAAATTACCTTTTCTTTATTAAACTCAAACATATCTTGTTTTAGAAAGAACAATCCCCTTTACCATCAGTTGATTCATTCACATTTTATCGGCGTGCAACTTAGCTGACATCCTGAGTCTCACAGGACATTTCATCCATTTTTTGTATGCAAGAGCCAATCTAGAATCCTTGTGACATTTCCCAATAACAATCCCCATGCAAGCTTTTGCCATCACATCATAGCAGAATCAGGGGTATGAAGAGGGAAAAGGAGGATAATTGAGTGTACAATCAGTCAAAGACAACAAGCATCACAAACACATGAAAACATACACCACGGAACATGGATTTGTTTCCCAAAGTAGGACAATGACGCTAGCAGCATACAAGGGACTATCTAAACAGTTATTGGCATTGCGCAAAACTTCCTTGCGCGCACGTGGGCGGAGAATAAGGGCTAGTTGAGGGGTGGCTTATCTCTACGCAAGTGGGGAGATTCCCAGCGCATGCGACATAGCTTCCACCACCACATTGTGGTGTCGCATCACAGACCGTAGTATGCTCAGGTGTGCTTGATACATGGCAGCACTTTGGCGCGAGTTGCTTTGCCATTGTACCCAACGCCAACGCGAGCAGAAATAGAAAGTATCTCCCGAGCTAGATTGTGCAAAAGACATGAACAATTGAGCTATATATATTCCATGGCACTACATGAAAATAGGCTCACCATTCTTGAGATCAGTTTATTTTGAAGAAGTTTTTGGTCAAAGGACAATCGAAAGTTGAAGATCTTGCGGTCATTCAGCGAAATACAAATAAATTAGCACATTCAAAACGGAAAATAAGACCCCAAGAAACAAACCACTCACTTGTGCGAGAAACGGTTTTAGCAAGTTGCAAAAAGATCCTACAGATGATAATTTTTACGGTGTCCTATAGAGCGAAAGAAGTCCAAGTGGAGATGATCTCATTAGAATTCACGATGAGTAAATGACCAGGAGAAGGGTAAGAGGGATGGTGCATACAAAATATGTGATGGACCAAGTGGCTGGGGAAGGTCTCCAAGACTGAGGAAGTCTCAGTCTTTATACCTGTGTCCCCCGCCAGATCCACTCGCGATCAAGTCTCGTCATCAAAGCCGGCTCTGAAGCGGTGCCAGTGTGTCGGCTGTATCCTTCCACAGTCTAATCACCCTATAAATCGAATCAAATATGGGTCGTATCTCCATGGGTTTGAATGAAGTCTCTGATAGTCAGCTTCCACAGCCACTGTCTACCGTGCAGATTTCTCATGGCGATTTCAGACAAAAAATCGCTTCCCATCGGTATCAGACATCCTCCCAACAGCGCCTCAAATGCTAGCTTGGAACTAAGAATTGCACATATGAAACTCTGCAAGACTGAAACCTATTCACAAGTGATCCGATAAAATCAGAATAGATTGCACTGTGTATATGAGCTTGTGTGATACGTTGTGGTAATCAAAATATGAGACCAATCAAAAAAATCAAAAAAAATCGAATTTTGAATTACATCAATTATGTTACATATAGTTTAATATTTACATCATTTTATCATTCAAACAAACTTATCAAGATAAGTATAAACTATTAACAAACAGATTACAAAAAGAAAGAAAGAAAAAAACATAAGAAAAACTCGAAAATAGAGGTATACAGGTTGGAAATGGTTTTTAGGGTAGTAATATTAGGTTTATGGGTTTAGTAGGGTTGGAATACGAAAGAGGAGCATTGTTTTAGTCAGCAACAACTTTAATCTTGGTGGTTGATAAGAGAAAATAGAAGTTATTAAGGAAATGGGAAAAAGTCGAAATTGGTAAACAAGGGTTTACAGGTAGTTTTACATATGTAACAGTAGTATTAGTAATGAATAAAGTTGCCAAGGGTGTTTTTAGGGATTTTCACGGTTGGAGATTACTGTGTAATGTTACAGAAGGCAAGAAAGGCTTAGTAAAAGGTGTGAAAAGTGAAGAAAATAGGTGAAAATAGTCGAAAATGAAGGTTTTCAGCTGATTACATGTGTCAAATGACGTCAGAACATGATAAGTAATAGCTCATTCGACGCAGAATCATCAAATTCATAATGTACAATCTTTAAATCATTAGTAACAGAGGTGTATGACAAAAGTTATAAGGAATCAAAGGATTTGATTACACATCAACAAGATCACAAATCATTAATAACAAGCAATTACATCATTGAAATGCTGAATCATCATAAGATCAAATCAATATTCATTCTAGAACATTCAGAACACAGCATATACACAGCATATACACAGCATTTGATCATAAGAATAGAGATTAGTCATGTTTTACTGGTCAAATTAGTAATAAATCTTATCAGATGATGAATAGAAGATCACATTACATCATAATAATGATCATAATGGGTTGATGAGGTACTGATGGCGAAATTTAGGAATGTAGAGAGTGGTTGAATCATTGGATCAAAGCTGTTTACCAGCATTTTAGTCATCTTTTGGTTTTTTAGATGGTAAAGAGGATTTTTTAAGAGCTGTTTACCACTTTAACAATTTGTATTGATGTGTTCATAAACTTGTGTCTTTTGTGCGAAATTATGTTTCCTTTCTTCTTCATCTCTTACATAGCATTAATCATTTTTATCATTATAAACTTATTAGAGCAGTACTAGGTCACTCAAATCAGCCCTTCATCAGAAGAGAAATTTGTTTTATGTGCTTTATATGACACTGTCATTCTGGAATAATATCAAAAAGATATTGAGCTTATTTTTCAACATTTTGACTCGACTGGAATAACACTTTAAATGTGTTGAGCTTATTTCTCTGGTGCTTTTTATCAAGATACTTTTCTCTTATTATCAAAGACCTGGTTATATTTCTCTGTTATCAGGAGACTTTAACAACAAAGTCCAGTTTGTTAAAGATTCTCAGAAAGAGCAGTCTCAGACACCTTCTTTAGATCTATTATATCTTCAGATTATCCTCTTTCAAAGCACTGTATAGCCCTTGTTGTGCTATAAGTACTACAACGTTAGATTATGTCCTGATATGGAGTCAGAGGGATGCCAGGCGATAGGCCAATTGCCTGATCCCCACGCGACCTGTGGCGCAGCTAGACATTTGGTTTTCCGAATGGATGTCGTTTGTGTTGGTGTGAGATTTCATCATCTACCACAGCCACTTTCCACCACGCCTGTTTGGCTCCTGGCTATCTCGACTTTTAAAGAAAGGCGATGCCGGATTCATCCATCGACATTGATCCTCTCAACAAGCTGAACCTACCATCGAGTCAGAAGTATGACTGGCAACAATGGGAGTACATAGCTTGATTGGTCACGCACCACCCACTCAGTTCCTTGAAAGGTATAAACCGCGCTATATGCCCAGAACAGCTCCACACTAGCTGGCATCGGTGGCGATGCTGTGATGTCTTTGGCCTTTTGATGCCATATTCATATTGATTCATTCACTTAGGGAGATTTATGCTTGGGTTACTCACACGCAGTTCCGATGTCGACAAGGGGACCCTGGAGAGCCCATATATACCCCCTAATTAGTAGGTATGTAGGAATCGTGCTTTTTTGGTAAAAAGTGTCCACAATTTCCAAGCAAGAATTTGAAGATTTTGGTCCAAAAGATTGGCCAATGAGCCTCACTTATCATCTCGCCCTCGGGGTATGCCTAACATTTGAAAAAAACATCATTCTTATATGTACGAGCAATGTGAGTAGGAAAAGTCTGAAGCAGTGCTGGCACCACCATCCGCAACCAAGTGTCAGTATTGAACCTCTACGCCATGGAATGATCATCGATATGCACATGTTTGTGAATATAGAGGTACTAAGCTTGCGGCACTCTCTTTGTAAATCGAAGATGCCTGTCAGTGCGGGACTCCTTCCACGCGGGAGTACCACAGGATCCGGGTTTGGATCCTGATAATTTGAGACTGAGAATGTTTTGAGAATTTGAGAATACAGGCTGTTAAGCACTCTCCGGTATTAGCATACGTACAAGCATATTAAGTATCATGTAACCTTTGGCAAAACCCCTACGTTATAAGTACCAAACCTCCCCGTGTATTATGGTTCCTGGCATGTTCGATGCCTGTCACGTCCACCTCGTTCCTCAGCAATCTGGACGAAATCAATATCACCATAATGTTTCAATCACCCCAAAACGGAAGGCGGCACAATCAAAATTTTTTCATTATGATCACATGTAATATTCATCACCACGATCACCATTATCCTTCAATACGATCACTTACCTCAAAGATTCCATCATGGTTGTTCCTACCCTCGTCCACGAACGATATCAATTCATCAAAGACGGACACCTCCCAGCGCCGGTCAAGGGTGGGCTGGTCGCCATTCTGTGTCCAGAATGCTCAACCCCCCTCCGTTATCATTCTGCATTAGCAGATGCATGGCGTATCCATGTCAGTTTTTTTTTTCTTTCCCAAAGTTTGTACTCTGTAGTGAACTAAACGGACCTACATATCCCACTCATAGTGCCCTACACTTCCCAAGAACAACCAACACAATTGGCGGACTTGGCGATGCGATCAACTAAACCACGAACGAGCGTTGATCAACGCTGGGGCTCCCCGACCTATCATTTCCTCTTCTGCAGACTGGGGACCTCGTATCTCACCCTTTGGGGTCCCGCTCGACCCGAAGTCAGCCAACATCCAAATGGGCACGTTGGGCAGGACCAACATTGATGACCATCATCCCTTCCTGGGCCGAGAACCAACATTTACCCAGCTTGACTCACTTGTCGGGCCTCACCGTGCCAAAGCAGTCTATCCATGCCAGCGAGCTTCACGTGGCCCCGTCGCGCGTACCCACCGCACCGCTGGCAACAAGGGATGCTATTATCAGTACTGCCAAGCGGTCGGTTATACCTTTTCCAAGTTTTATTTTGTGATATGGATGACGTATAACTTACCTTGCTTTTAAACTTTTCTTGTTTTTAGTGTTGCTTGGAATTTGGCTTGGGGCCGTGTCCCAAACACAATTCCAATCGACGCCCGGCCCCTGCAAACACGACGGATATCCAGTTATCATCTAGCCGGCCAGCTCCAGCTGCTCCCACACCAGCTCCTACCTTCCCAACTCCTGCTAGCACTTCCACCCAACTACCTGAACCAGCGCGACCAAAGGAACCTCGACCGCACCAGGGACCTCACCCTCACCAGTGGGCCCAAGCATCTAACACGCTTGGGCGCCGTCTTGGTCCGCAAGCGGTGGCAAGGATCCAAATCAACCGACGTGAGCGATATGAGGCGGTTGAACGTGAGATAGCCAACAAATATGATGAGAATAAAGTGATCACGATCCACCTTTGGCTCGATGTGAGTTTTCTGGTTTTCTTCTTTTTTTTAACCTGATTTCCAGTGAAGTGACCGACCACTGTCAATCCAATAGGATCTTGGAGAGAAGATCATATCAGCCCATTTTGACCAATGGCCTAAGGCCAGGCTTGACGAGTCAAGCTTGCTCATCCAAGCTTGCACCCTCGCAATCGGTCCTTCATGGAATAGAGCGCTCTTGTTCTGGGATGACAAGATTGACACATGGGTTAGTGGTCTCCATTCATGAAATCGAAAGACTTTAAGAAATCAACCCAGCGCCAACTGATTGATTGATCATTCATTGGTCTCGTCTCTAGCATGAAACCATGGTGACATTCCCCCACCGCTTTCCAGCAAGCACGAAGAACATTGTTGTCAGATCGCACAATGTCGATCCTAGCACCCCGGGGTTGCCTCAATCAAAAAGCAAACAAGGTCCATCGAGGGCAAGGCCAGCGATCCCAGAATATTCAGCAGAGCACGCAACCTCCCAAGCCTCAAGCCACCACGTTCGTCCGGACGCCTCGACTCGCCCCACCAGCACGCCAAATTCTGATGATGACGATGTCATTGTTGTGAGTAGCAGCTATCCACCTCGCCCAACTGGCCACTCGGAAGACGTGGAGGTGTTCAACAACCCCATGCAAACGCCAAACGAACGCGAAATTTCCGAGCCACCCGTGTTTGATTTTTACCAAGTCAAACATGCAGCTGACCAGGCAGTGAGTGTTATTCAAATATCCATTAATATACATATGTATACTGACCAAAGTATTTGATCTGCATAGAAACCGGACAGTGCGAAAGAGGTTACCCCTCCAACCCCTTCTCCAACAATGACCAACGCAGTCAAGAAGAAAAAGTGGCCGGGCTCTTCAGTTCTTGTGTCCACCCTCCTCGCGTGGTACAAAGAATGTGAGACTCGACCTCCAATACAGGCATGGCACGACGCTTTTGGTGCCGAGTGGCTTTTGGTTCCTTCTACGATGTATAGGTACCGGCTGTGGATTGAAAGGGTGGATTATGATCGATTTTCAAAGGAGTATAAGAATAAACCACGTGCGACTGTCGGTGAAGCAAGGTTACTCTACAAAAAGGAGTTCCAAATAATTTCCAATGCCTAACCTAAGTTTTTAATTGACGAGGTTTTACAAATTACTCATGTAGTACTTACGTACCACACGTTTATGTTTATGTCCTAGCTTTGATTTATGGCAGATGAAATTAAAAAAAATGAACCCCTTCTAACGTCCGAAAGGGTCAGAAAGCAAGGACCCTTTCTCAAAAGACCCTTCTATGAATGACAATACCATTTACCTTGACAATTGTTTTAACGAACGATGTTAAAACAATTGTCCCTGGAAGTCTCCCAAAGCCATTCAAACCCTGGCTACATTCCACATTGCGAAGGATGTTATATTTGAAGGTAGGTGCTATATCTATAAATATAGGCGATGCTAGTCTTTGTCTTTCAGCATCGTCGCCAACACATAACCGTCAGCATGCCATCTCAACCACCACTGATTGCTACGCTGTCGGCCATACTAACTGCCACCAGTGATGTACAACTTTTCTGCGTTTGGTTGTGTCTTCCGGTCCTGTCCTTATTGAACTGATTTTTGACCTTCCTTTGAAACACAGAGTACAATGCTGCACCCACGGTTAGTCGATGGAGGGGTAGCATGGCACAAGACCGATACCCAGCTAGTATTGAAAGATGAAGAAGGCCAGCATGTGATAACCCCACTCAAAGCGTATGGATATATCCTGGCCAATGAATTGCTTACCCGCGGCCACACCTATCACATTCATGGACCGGTTGGGGTTGACCTAGAAGACGGAGCTGCTTTTGTCAGGCACAGCGTCTTGACTCAGAGTTTGGTTTCCGTGGAACCCCCTCAACCGGCAGACCTCGCTGGGAAGGCCATGCTCAGTTCAGTCGGGAAGGTGCTCAGAGTGACTTTGGACAATGCCAACAAGGAAGCACAATGGCATTTTACCGTTCAAGCTGAACATGAGGTCTTCGAGCCGGAGGTAAGCTTCTGTTACAGTATCAGTATCTCATTGGTTTTCACTGACTTTCGCTGGCTGTCTTTCACTCAGGGAGGTAGATCGTTACGATTTCCAATCACATATCGCTTTGGATACTTTTCCCCCGAGTTATCTGATATCAGAAATATTGCCGTCAACACTGTCATGTGGTTTCAAGGATTAGTTGTATCAAAGGATGATCAATCTAAACAGCTCATCATTCAAGTACGTTTTCACACTACCTACATATGATCATAGTAGGTATCTAACTTTTATATATTGGTCCTCCTTTCTCTCGCAGGTGCTTCACCATGGTGTTGTTGTCGCTGAGTAGGCTGTAAAAGCCTCCCCCTTCCCCCTCCCCTCAAATCAATGAACGTGAATGTCGTGTGATCAATGTATCTGCTTGCCCTACTTGCCCGTGAAACTTTCAGTTTCACAGTCCATTCTTTCAGGTGTTGCATGCAATCTTATGAACATGTTCATTACAATCATTTATTTAATGACTGTGTGAGGTCATATCACACATACACTTTAATCAAAAGTCACCCGAAACCAAAAAAAGATATTTGTTTTCAAACAAAGTGGGCATCCGCACACAGGAAACCAAGAAGGTCAATTAAAGAAACAAAAAGACTAAAAACCTCCATTGCCTATGAACAACATTCCTTTGCGCCTGTTAAGTTTCTTGGTGAGCCAAACGTTTCTCAAATGTACCATTTGTTCCAAAAAAAAATTATAGCGAAGCGAATGCATGTTACGACACATTGATGCAAAGCCGCCGTACCATATGTTTGTGAGTTCGGCAGCAGAGGCATTAAATATCCATTTGCCATCTTCTTGTATATCAGGAAAGAGCTTCGGATCGGTGAACTTTCTGCATGGGACCGATGATGAAAAGGATCCACAGGGAGCACAGTTCCTTGAAATCGGGTTGAATCTGTGTCCCCGTGGTAGATGTGTTCAGTCAGTCGACAAGTGTTGTCATAAAAAACTACTTCGGGCATTCCTTGATCAGGCAAGGTTTCCTCAAGAAAATACTTTGGGAGAGATCCAAATGAGTCAACAGGGGAAAATCAGAAGACCGAAACAGAGAACTACTCACCTTCACTGCGCTCACGGACTCTGAGTGGTAGAAAGTTTTTTGCGCCAAGACGATTCCACACCATCCAACCACTAATTGATCATTGTGGGTTCGGCATCTTGAAACCACCAGTTTCGCATTGGCCTGCGATTGCCCACCGTCGCGGGCACCCTCATGCGCACAATCAGTCTCGTCAGCTTGGCGCAAACCTTCCAGATCATTGAATTCGCCGGTTTCAGCATCCAGATGGACAGTCGGATCGGATGGAAGGTTGGAACCGGGTCGATTGAGGATGGCAGTTAGAGCAAAGTTTGATTTGACACGTTCTGTGAATTTGGCCCACGCGTCTATGTGGGCTGTCAGTTCACATGTTTTGGAATCAGTCAGAGCGTCTTTTTGGCAGGGTTGGACATGACAGCGTGTTCCAAGGAGAGAGTGATGAAGCGGGCAAAAACAATCGTTTATTTTGTCGAGAGGGTTGGTACAAGGTCCTTCAGGGCGGGGTAGTCCAGAGGTTTTAGCAAGCTCTTCGAGCTGGTCAGTTGAGGCGCTACAGCACCAGTGGCCAATCGTGAGACCATTGGTTACGACAGCTTGAATACCTGAGTGTTGTGCAAAGGATCAATCATTTATTTGGTCACTTACAAACAAAAGAAAGGAACGTTTTTGTTGCGATAAACGTACCTAGCCCAATATCTTCACCTGAGTCAGGATCCACACCACCAGATTTTACTCTCACGCAACTACTGCAGTAATGATCACGGAAACTAGTTCCTTCCACATCAAGTCGGTCCAGATGGGAGGCAATAGCCTCATCAAAACAAACGTCGTCTGTACCAGTTGCCGGAAGCGTCAGTTGTTGCTGCCTTCGATCTTTGTGTTCCAACAAATCACGGAGTTCAAGGCCATCTAGCAAGACTGCCTCTGACATAGCCGGGGTGAAAACCTGGGCGGCGTCGAACTGAGGGACGTTTGCGTCCTCAACATATATCTCGTTAAACCAGTTCGTCAAATTGAAGTGGGAGACGCTGGAATAGAGTGAGACTTTGTTTCAGCTCAGAAGTGAGGATAAAGAAACACAACCATTGGACTCACTGAGCGAGCATTTGGATTATTCGGAACAAGTGTCCCAACCTGTTTGTGATGTAATAGTGGCAGTGCACGTGGAGGATCTCAATGTCACGTCCCATGGGCAAGGTGTAGTAGTGTCGGAATCCAGCTGAGGTGTAGTAACTAGGGCGATATGAGGCTCCACATCCTGTACGGCGTTTTGAGTCAGCAGGTATTGCAAACAAAATATCACAAACATGGGCTCAAGATTGTGAAAGCTCACCTGGACAATCGAGTATGACTGTCTGAACCGAGTGGACACCGTTGGTGTCGTAAAGGTAGCCATTCAGGCGGGTGTGGACATGTAGATTACGTGCAGTTGGGCAAGCAAGACACTGTGATACTGGCGGTCGTAAAAAACGTTCAGGTAGTTTGAATTGAAGACCAATTGTGCGGATGGCAGCTTTTGAATCAAACCGGGTCGAGGGTAATAGTGAGAGTGTTAAAGCCCATAGATCATTCATGAGGTGGTTGGGAAACGACGGAGAAAGCGCGGTTGTGAGGAAGGGCAGCACAGTCGTTCGGTTTGGTGTGAGACGTAATGAAACTGCTGCGTTATGGTGAACCTCGGACACAAGCGAGACGAATCGAACGAAGTCGGACACCGTGAGGGTTGTGCTGAGGTGGGCACTGGTGATCGACATTTGTGCTACAAAGTCAATCAGTAGCATGGTGGATTGGGATTGTAGGTCTTGCTGGTGAGGGGAAAAGGAAAGTCAAAACGATTGGGAGCGGAGGGGTAGGTAATGTTGACAGGTTTTTCGTGGTGAAAGGGGATGATGTTGTCACACACATGTCCAACACATGTGTGGAAGGAATCACAACCAAGGCACATCTTCTTACCTCTACAGTTGCTCCAGTCTAGTCACGACCAGAGCCCGGCCCCGGCCCCGGCCCCGGCCCCGGGACCCAAATGTTGGGGGGTCCCAGTAATACCCAAAAAAAAATTTGCAGGGGTTTTTTTTGGCAAAAGTTCTTTTTCTTCACTCTATCACTGCATACTTCACCCTTGTATTGTAAAAATACAAGTCTATGCTGTTCTGTACCCCAGGAGTTGTGATGAGAGGTGCTCCACCTACTTACTTAAGGTACATAAGTAACAGCTTAAGTGGCTACCTAAGAGCATCCGCACTCGTGCGGTAATTCGAGTGCGGTAAGGTAAATTTTACCGCAAATGCGGGGCCTCTCCCACACTGGTGAGAAATTAGCCCCGCGGTAGTTATTTTTTGATCGATTTGCGTTAGCCAATCGGTAACTTTACCAATTGGCTACCGCATGCGGTATCCAAGGGTAGCCCTGTCACTAACTTTAAGACTCCCCAACTCAACTTCAACACAACTCCAACTTGCTTCCTCTCAACCCACAACACCCGATTCGAGATTCATACAATGGCAACCCAAGAATCAGAAGAATCAAAAACTCGCACGCGTGTTGCAAACTGGACAGCGAAAGACGAGGAGCAGCTTGCGAAATCTTACCTTCATATCTCGTCTCAAGCCGAAATCGGAACCGGCCAATCTTCCGAGGTGTTCTTTGAAAAGATCACCAAACACTTCAACCTGCACACTGATCCTCCCGGCACTGATCCTCCTGGGCGTTCAATAGCCCAAGTTCAAAATGGGTAAGTTAAATCTTAACTCGTCTTTAATTGATATGTTTTTAAGTCTTTTTGTTTCACAAAGTTGGAATGCCCTCCGAACTTCAACTTTGAAATTCTCGGGTTGTTACGCTAGAATCGAGCAGTCTCCCCGGAGTGGGAGCAATCTCATCGACATGATACGAGATGCAAAGGCGTTATACAAATCTGAAGACAAGAAGAAACGTGAATTCAGGAGCGAGCTCGCATGGGAAGTTCTACGACACGAACCCAAGTGGTGCCCAGTCCCTCCATTCTCTAATTCCAGTTCAGCAGACGATTACAAACACACCGCTACTCGTGCCTCTAGCCCGACTCGTCCTCTGGGAAAGAAGAGCTGCAAGTGTAACCGACTGAGCGAGGCTAAGCGTGCACGCGAAGAAGACGATGAGGCTTTAGCTGAAGCCAAGGCAGAAGTCAAATCCCTTCAAGAAAGAAGAGTCTCTGCCATGGAAGAAGCTAATCGATTGGCCAAAGAGATGCAGACCACCGAGATCATGTCAAAAGAGATGGAGATTTTGAATCAAGATGAATCCAAAATGAACGAGGTGTCTAAAAAAATTTTGAAGAAGATGAAGGCTCAAATCCTTCTCAAGTATGAAGATGGGGAAGCAGATGGCTCTTCTAGTCATGTGTAGCTGTCTTTTAATTCATTGAAATCATGAGTATGTTAAGTTTCTGACTATCTTATTCCCTTCAGCCAATGTTGATTGATATTAGTCTACTTTACATCTAGTTATATAGATTTTGAAGATAACTTTAGATTGATCGAGATGAAAAGCCATCCTGTGGATGGCTTTTAGATGGGTCGATTGCTTTTAGATGGATCGATTGCTTTCAGATGGATCAATTGCTTTTAGATGGATCGATTGCTTTTAGATGGATTGATGGCTTTTAGAAGGACCGATTGCTTTTAGAAGGATTGATTGCTTTTATTGATCTAGATTGATTTCTTATCGTTTGAATTGTGAAATGTAATTTAAAGATATGTTTGGATCTATTTTAGAACAATCAAAATTCAATTCAACTAAATCATTGATAAAGGGGAACTTTGCAAAAGGGGTTGATTATCTACATTTGTTTTCAATATCTAGAATGATTATCTACATTTGTTATTGATATCTAGAATTGTATTTAAAAATTTCCTTTGTTAGAATTGAAGAAATCAATTTTTCCTTGCTTGTCTACAAACCCCCGCGTGCCAACCATCCAGCTGTGATGAGATCTCGAGTTAATCTTAAATGGACTTCACTATCCCAAAGCTCTTGAGACGCACTGATGTAAGTGGTAAGTGATGGTGCAAGACGAGGGTCTCTAACATTGGGAACTACTTGTACTTGACTGTTGTAGTCCGTAATAATTGGGTCTTTTTCTAATCTTTCCTCGACAACCATATTGTGTAGTATGATGCAGCAATACATGATCTGCCTGAGATCACATATCTTCCAAAGCCGACCGGGTTGCTTTATTATTGCCCAACGAGCCTGAAGAATTCCAAATGCGCGTTCGATGTCTTTTCTTGCGGATTCTTGCCTTTCGGCAAAGAAAGATGTTGCAGGATCACCCGGATGTTGAATTGATTTGACTAAAACCGGCCATGAGGGGTAGATACCATCAGCTAGATAATATCCTCGTGTGTATCTATTTCCATTGATTTCAAAGTGAAGATTGTCTTCCGTTCCTGTGCAGATACATGAACCAAATTGTAAATATAATCCTAACCATTTTGATCAAAAGAATGAATATGAACACACCCAAGAGAAATCTTGAAAACAAAGGGCTTGAATTCAAGATATTGATATCATTGAGAGATCCAGGTGATCCAAAAAAAGCGTGCCAAATTCTGCAACTTTTTGAAGCAACCGCTTCTAGTACTATACTCGGTGATTTCTCCTTGCCTTGATACCGTCCTTGCCAAGCACTGGGACAGTTTTCCCATGCCCAATGCATTCCATCGATGGATCCCTTACAACCAGGAAATCCCCGTTCTTCATATTCTTTCGTAATAGTCACTAACTCTTTCTCGTTTGGGGGTCTTAGAAATTCCGGACTGTAGATATCAATGATTGCTGAGCAAAATTTCTTCAGCGCTTTGAGAGATGTACTTTCAGCTATCTTTAGATACTCGTCTGTTGCGTCCGGAGGTACTCCATACGCAAGCTGACGGAGAGCGGCAGTGACCTTCTGCTCAGTTGATAGACCATATCGTCCTGTACAATCCTATTTGAAGAAAGAATGAATGAGAGTGAAAAAAACAAAGCAACTCAATCAAGCTCACAGGTCTTTGTTCCCAGTACTTATCATGCTGTACTAGCTGGGCGCAGATGTCTTTGAACATATCACTGGGCATTCGAAATCGACATTGGAAGGTCTCTTCATTGTATCTTGGGTTTTCGGCGAGGTAGTCTCTGTGAAGTTGTGCATAGGCTTCTTCTCGATCCCTGTATACCATAATTTTCTTTTTCTTTGGGCGTTCATCACAGTTATCTTCTAAGCTGAGGTCTTCATCCATATCATCTAGGTCCTCTTGAATAAACTCTTGTGCTCTCTTGAGGTATCTTGAGAAGGACGTGCTCTTTACCATTGTGATTTATCAAAAAAAGCTGTGTGGATTTGGTGGGGGATTGTGCAAATGCGTGGATGGTGGATATTTTGAGTTAGTAAACTTTGATTACTATCAACCAGTGTGGAAACTCAAATTATCCCTTGAAGATAGTTAACTACTCTGCCATTACCTCGACACGAGTGTGAAAATTGGTCGAGGTAACTATTTTTTTACTTAATGTAGCGGTTGCTACCGCAAGAGACCAAGTTAACAACCGCAAACGAGTGCGGATGCTCTAAGGATTTAAATACTTAAGTAAGGTACTTAAGGACTTAATATTAGGTCCATTAGGTACCTAGACCCAAATGTTGGAGGTTTGTAAAAATAAAAAAAAAATTGGCCAAGCAGATTGACTCACCAAGTCATTTCTGACACAAACACCCCCCTTAGAGCCCAAAAATGACTTTTTACACATGATTTGTAAGTAAGAGTTCAGTGTGTAAACTTGTGTAACCAAATTTCAATTTTGCAGAGCGAGTCTGGTCGTGACTAGACTGGAGCAACTGTAGTGCCAAGGTCATAAGTATATGTCCGAAAGTCTATATCAACAGTACGTGGTTGATATTACATACACGGGGGGGGCGGATGAAGGGCGCATTAACCCATAAGTCCATGGTTTGTGAGAGGTGATTCTCATATTCTCAGTGTCTCAGATCTCTCTCAGGCGACCCCCGGATCCTCAGGTCTACCGTTCCACGCGGGCTGCAATCTGACTTAGCATCGAAATCTGAAAAGGACGATTCCCTAAGAAAACCTTAAATAAATTGTATATGGAGATATTTTTTCTTCCCTAAAGCTGTTCGATTGAACTTGAAATTCTTCATATCAGAAGTCAATCCAATTTCAAACCTCAATTTCAGGAATGCAAAGATTCTTATTGCCAAGGACGCAAACAAAACAATCAAGCAATCAAGAATTACAATCACATTTTTTCGTTGAAGGAAAACTTTTTAACATTTGTAAATGAAGGGAAAGAGAGACAGAAAATAAAAACCAAAATCAAGTGAAGAAAATGAGAGTGGAATCCAAAACCTTCAAAGTTTTCGAAGAAAAATGGTAAATTAAGAACACACAACAAAAAACACCGAAAACCGAATTATAAACAAAACACATTGAAATTTGAAAAACCCAAAAAAACCAAAAAGCATACAAGTGATCACTTGAGATATCAAAAATATGCAAAAAAAGAAATCATGATACTTGTTCGAGAAGAATACGAGGATCTGTCTGGTTTTGGAATTGGAAACCAACGAAAATGAGGTTCTGAATCTGCAGCATGATCATGTGATGCGGAATCTGTTTGATCAA